TGTGTGTGTGTGTGTGTGTGTGTGTGTGTGTGTGTGTGTGTGTGTTGTGAGGGGCGGTGGATGGCTAGAGAAATGTAGTTTGCTCTGCTTCCCATTATGTTGGATCCATTCATTGACATCTAAACAAGGAAAACATTAGTTTTAAAGATTCATTCATTCTTTCTTGGAATGAGTTGAAGAGGATTGTTGGATTCCTCTTTCTGGGTCAAGGGATATGAGGAAATCAGTACACTCTGTCAAGAATACACAAGGGAGATCTCTGAAATCAGATAGTTTGATATCTGGAGTTACAAGTTATCTGGAGTTAAGATGCGTCCCTGTGCCATCCCCAAAATCCCTCATATGCTTCATACCAAACTATGCCCCATAACAACTCATGCAGTATGCATCATGGATAGATCTTCAGACCTGTGTTCCTAAGTGTCTATTAAAGACTTCACTATATTGGTAAAAACTATCATTCATAAAATCCATTTACTACATTTACATTTCTGCAAATGAATAAAGGCTACGACAACAAACATTTCATTCAAGTGCATAGCCCCTTGTAACAACAAGCATTAATAGTCCCACTTCAAAGAATACAGACCACTTGGAGCTGTCAATCAAACTGTGAAATGGCAAGGACTCTACTATAATAATGGATGGATAGATAAATGTGAGCTGTTGCATTTTGGTAAGACAAACCAGGCTAGGACTTAGACAGTCAATGGTATAGCCCTGGGAAGTGTTGCTGAACAAAGACACATAGGGTGCAAGTGTATAGTTCCTTGAAAGTGGACTTGCAGGTAGACGGGGTGATAAAGAAGTTGTTTGTTATGCTTGCTTTTTTGGTCATTGCATTGAATACAGGAGTTGGGACATCATGTTGCAGCTATACAGGACATTGGTGAGGCTACTTTTGGAATCTGCATTTAATTCTGGTCTCCTTGCTATAGAAAGGATGTTGTTAAACTTGAAAGGGTTCAGAAAAGATTTATAAGGATGCTGCTGGGATTGGGGCATTTGAACTACAGGGAGAGTCTAAATCAGGTGGTTTAAGGTGAGAGGGGAAGATTTAAAATGGACCGAAGGAGTAATTTTTTCACGCAGAGGGTGGTGTGGGTATGGAATGAACTGCCAGAGGAATTGGTGGAGGCAGGTACAATTACAATGTTTAGAAGGCACCTGGATGGGTATATGAATAGGAAATGTTTGCAGGGATATGGGCCAAATGTTCACAAATGGGAGAAGGTCAGATTAGGATACCTGGTTGGTGTGAGCTAGTTGGGTCTGTTTCCATGCTATATATAACTCTTTGACTCTGTGATGGACCAAATGATGTTCTTCCATGCTGTATTCTTTGATAATTCGATATCAGGTAGAAAGAGGCCACAAAAATGACGTGACATGATTCAAAAAGATTAACACTCATCTTTTAAATAATAATTATTCCATTGGATTTCCAAAACTTTTCATGTCCTGCACAGCTTAAGGGTCACAAGAAAAGTTGCATTCCTGGTCATCAAGAACCCAGAGTTAGGACCGAATGAACATAACTAATCAGTTACCCTTCAGTGTTGACATCTCCTCGTGTGCCTATTAAAAGCACCGATATTCAAAAGGAACCATTAAATGTAACTCCAGATATCAAACTATCTGATTTCAGAGATCTCCCTTGTGTATTCTTGACAGAGCATACTGATTTCCTTATATTCCTTGATCCAGAAAGAGGAATCCAACAATCCCCTTCAACTCATTCGAAGAAAGAATGAATGAATCTTTAAAACTAATGTTTTCCTTGTTTAGATGTCAATGTATGGGTCCAACACAATGGGAAGCAGAACAAACTACATTTCTCTTGCCATCCACCACTCCTCACAACACAGACACACACACACACACACACACACACACACACACACATGCTAACAATATGGTGAAACATACAAACTAGTGTCCTGGAGGATAAAGTATAAGAAAAATATGTTTAAAGTACAAACTCGAGACTGAATGCTCTTGCTAGCCTTGGACTTCAAGCATAAGTGAAAGAAATGAGCTTAACTTCCTTAACCTTTCCTCAGATGTTGCATGAACCTTGGACTGGTGTGGCCCAGAATTTGATAACAGCAGTTAAAATTTCTGCTAGGGCTGACTGATTTTCCAACATTAATGCTATTGGAGTAGATGACTGTCAAGGCAAAGAAGCATCCTTGCCCTATGTTATCACAGAAAGTATACATGAACACCCAATGACGAATGGCACAATGGAAAATTTCCTTGCTTTGCCGCATGTCGGATAACCGTGTTATGGTGGTCCTTCTTTTAAAGCCAGTGAAATAAGGAAAATTAAGGTCTTAAACTGCAAAATAATACACTGTCTTCATCATTTCTAATCTGTCATTCCTGCTTAATGCACAAAAACAAAACAAGGAGATCTCTCCTTTTCTTTTCCTACTAAGATGTTATTGTAACAGAAAAGTAGTTTTGTACTTTTCTACAACAGTATAATAATTGTAACAACAAACAGTATCAACAGTACATTCTATCCTTGCTGCTCTAACAGACTTGTATGTTTAAAAAAGGGGGTTGGCTAGCTCAGTTGGCAAGATGGCTGATTTGCATTACAAAGTGACACAAACAGCATGGGTTCAATTCCTGTACCAGCAAGGGTCACCATGATGATCCTCAGCCCCTTCCTAATGTGTGGTGACCCTGAGTTAAACTCACCACCAGTTCTCTCTCTCTAATGAGAGAGACAGCAACTCTATGGTCCTCTTGGACTATGGCAACTTTCCTTAATTTAATAAGT